TCCTAATTTAACGAAAAACACCGTCAAAACAATATACACAATATGTATAAAAATCCACAATTTTTATAAAGATTCTATTTCATAATTAATTTAATGCTGATGTGATATCATTTCTCAAAATTCGACGTAGCCAACATTTTTGTTTAATTAATTTGCACCGGTTTCAAATTTGCACACCTTCGCTGAACAGGTCCGCTTATGAAGAAATGATAATTATTTAAATGGGGCTTCGACAGCAATTAATAACACTGGCAAAGCGGTTCTGAAATGGGAATTTGCGAGCTGAAGGCCGACGGAGTGACAGAAATTCAGTAACTTTCTTAGTCTTGCCAATTTTTATTTCGTTGCGATTTTCGCTATCGAAAAAAAAATTAATCTCCATTAGTATTTCAGACGGCGATAAGTAATGGGGCGGCGGGAGCGGTGGTATTATTAAAAGTGAAACGTGTCACCGTGTCCTCAATACGGGGCCTGCCTAATTTTAAACTTGAGCCAACAGCATGCATTCCAAAGACTGGATGTCGAATATTTAAATCCGATATGCAATTTACTGGAATTTAATAAACAGAAATTGCAGGTTTCCGACGCATTCGCTGCTCCAAAGTCCATGGAAAACTCGCGCATTCAGAAATCGTAACGTGGCAAACCAACAGCAATAGGCAATAAAATTACAAAGCTCGTTTACATTAATTAATTGGCCGTCGCGATAAAAAAACACTGCTCGATTTTATAGCCTTTAAAAGGGTTACACTCGGTAACGGGTTCCTGTTCTAGAGGTGTCATATTGAAATTTATGGACTCGAATTGGAAGAAAAAACCCCATCGCGGATATGGATTCTAATTAAGTGAACTTTATGGTGCGTTCATGAAATACTCGACCATTCAAATAGAAATAAAACGCCTCTCAATAAGACCGGCCTTTTAATTCAATTACTTTACATTATTGATAACTAATTGAACAATTTATTACCGTGTGAGGCGAGCTTGTACCGAAAGTTAAAATTCAATTTGCCAATAAGTTTTATAAACTAGCGAGAGTGTAACCTTCTCCTATTTTGCATATAAAATACTTGATAATGTGAGACACGTGATGAGAATTGTGGTGCCAGCCAGTCCTACTCATAGTCACAGATCACAAAAACACAAGCAATTATATCTGTCTAATTTCTCAAAGAAAAACTATGTTTCTCTGGGAGAGACAGGGAACTCCTCTGCATTCATTTTTTGTCCAACTTCATTACTTTTATGACCATGGTGTAATGACAATTGTCGACTCGACTCCACGTTATTTTATTATGAGCTTATGCATTGCCGAAAAAAGTCCCAAAAATTGTAACACAGTTATTGTTGAGCTTAACGGAACTCATGCGATGAATGAATGAAGAGTAATGAAGTAGTGGTGGTACGCGGTGAAAATCACAACTTGTTTACTACGCTTTTCTAAACAATAATAATGTTTGTTTTGACGGTGCTGAGATTTCCATAAAATTCATGTCCGATTAATTTAATTATTTTTATACAAAATGAAAACGTAACGTCCAAACAAGAAAAAATTACTCTAGTGGTAAATATACACATTTTATTAAACATATTCCAGTAAACATCTATAAAACGTGTTCTTTTCAATATAAATTAGAAAATTACAAATCAAAACTAGGAAAATAATATTTGTAGTTTGATCACCTGTCCAGTGAGAAAAAAAATATAAACAAATATTTTACTAAAAGCTACTGAGTTGAAGGTTAAGAAATTTTTGTAAATTATACAAATAAAAATTTTTCCTCGAATTCTGAAAAAACTATGACGTTAAAACTTCATCGTATTACATATTGAATCTTTTAGGTAAGAGGAAACTCCCAAACTACCACTTTTTAACTAGAACATTACTTATTTGAAACTGACCACACATAATTCGAATTGTTAAAAAACGAAAAAACACAAAAAGGAAGTGAAAGGCTCGAGCATTTGAAAAATATAAGAACACCAAACAGAATAGTTAGAAATTAATTAATGTCGCCAAAGCTGTAAACAAAATTGTGACACAGGCGACAAAGTTTATAAAAATAAAAGAAACGTAGAAAGTTTACAGCTTTATATTTGACAATCAGTGGCGTAGGTGTTTCAAAATTAAGAAAGGAAATATCCATGATATATTTAGATTCGAACCAAATAACAAAAAAAACACCCTAAATAAGTCCACATAAGTGCATATAAATGATTTTTTTCTTACAGAAGTTTTCATCCTGATTTAAAAAAATCTCGCTATGAAAACATTCCATTAGATTCAATAACCTCGCCTCCGCAACAAGTCCATGTCAAAAATTTTAGACGCCAGTTAGTGAAATGTTATTCAGTCAAAATACATTTGTTATACATAACATAAGCTAAAAATAAAGTGCATGAAAAAATCAAAAGCCCAGAATGAAGCACAAAAAAATTTTCTTCATCAAAGAGTAGAATAATAGACGAAATTTCACAGTGACGCACAACAAAAAAATCTTTTTCTACAACATCGAAATATGTTTGTAAATTCAATTTCACTTCCTAGTCACGTTACAAAAAAGCGACAAGTACAAAATGACATATTTCGTGTTTGATTTTGATTCATTGAGATTCAGTTTTTGATCTCAAAAATTTTAAAACTCAATCATAATCAATTTCAATCAACTTCTAGGATGGGAAATCGTGGAAATCTACTTCAACGACGGAAACTTTTCAATATCAAGAAAATATTAGGATTAAGTAAGCAATCCACAAGTTCCCCGAAAATGATTTCCACAAATTGCGATTGTAGTAGAAAAAATGTAGTATGCAACTCGCACAAAATACATTCGTATTATACAAAATTCGCACTATTTTTCTTTCATTTTGCAACGTTACCGAAAAACAAAAGAAAAAATGTAACTTACTGTTAAAAAATTATGATTGATAGTGTTTTATATGCAGTTTGTCGCCGGATTGAATTTACAAGAGGAAAATTTTTGTTGTCTTTGTTTTCACGACAAAAGTACAGGAAAAACATTTTTTGCTTCACCTGAAACGAGCAAAAATTTATAATTTAAAACATCATTATTGTCAGTAGAAATAAAAATTCATTTTTCTCTCAATTTTGGACTTTTTCCTCAGTGGTTTAAATCCCATCATATTGGCGATTTTACTTTTTTGATAACGATGTCACTTTGACAAATAAGTTTACGCAAGTTAAAAAACAAAAATGTGCGTGAAAAATATAATTTTAATAAACGGCAACTCAAAAAAACAGCTTTATATCTTATAAAAAATACAGTCATTTTTAACAACAATCATTATTATTCACTTAATTAATTAATTGTCAAAGTGACATCGTTGTCAAAAAAATAAAACCGCCAATGTGATAGGAGTTATGAAGCAGAGAAAAAATATTCCAAGTCCAAAATTAAGAGAAAAATGAACTTTTCTTCCTATTGAATCAGTTTTAATTACAGATTTGCTTGTTTCAAATGAAGCAAAAAAATTTTCCCTTTAGTTTTGGCGTAGTATGAAAGATAAAAAAAATCCTCTTGTAAACGCAATCCGGGAACATACTGTATACATATTTCAACACTTTTTTATGCAAGATTTAGAAAAATGTTGTAATTTTTTTTATTTATTTTACCGTTTCTATGTCTATTATCGATAATCTTGTATATGTTTTTACATAATTATTCAGTAAAGATACAAAGTTACAAATAACGTTGAACCTAGTCACAATTCAGAATATAGCTTCTTTGTTTTCTCTTCTAATAGCCTGCAGCAAAAAAACGAAAAATTTTGTTTCCAACAAATAAATACGTTGAAAGTGCAAAATTGAAACCCCACAATTTCGAAATTTTTAGGAATTTTTTTAAAATATTTTTCCATGTTCCTGGTATCTTACTTCGCTTTTTTCTCTTGAGGACAAGTTTTGAAATACCCTGTATGTTTCAAAAGTTAATACTTAAAAAAAAACAAATAAATTGTAAAAAAATAGTAATTTTCCTATAATAAACTAAAAGACATCTTTAGAATAACAATAAATTAAATAATTATTTTGAATTATTCGCCTTCAAACAATGGAACTATAAGAGGACCATTTTTGAAAATTTGATTTTTAGATAGACTGTTGTCATGAAGACACGTATTTAGTAATTTTGATAGATTTAAGATTATTTAAAAAAAGTATTCATCAATTTTAAGAATAAAAAGAAATTTTCCTAATTTTTTTTAATGTTTCTGGTATTTTATCTTACTTGGCTTTTTTCTCTGGAGGGCAAGTTCTGAAACACCCTGCATGTTTCAGAAGTTAATACTTAAAAAAAAAAAAAAATAAATTGTCAAAAAAATAGTAATAAACTAAAAGACATCTTTAGAATAACAAAAATTAAATAATTATTTTGAATTATTCGCTTCCATAACAATGGGACTATAAGAGGACCATTTTTGAAAATTTGATTTTCAGATAGACTGTCATGAAGACACGTATTTAGTAGTTTTGATAGATTTAAGATTATTTAAATAAATTATTCATCAATTTTAAGAATAAAAACATTTTAGATATCTGTAAGTTCACGCAGATTATGAAGACGTCATCATCACCAATGATGTTTTTCGGTATTATTCATTTTAATCAAAGCAAAAGTGATAACGTTGGTAAAAATTAATAACCAATAGACTAATATTTTTGTTTTCTAAAAGGGGGGCGGTAACAGAACAAACTATATTTTTTTCTGTTTTATATTTAGAAAATGTGTTTGCGCGAGAAACGTGTAAAGTGGTTTCGTTGTCCGCAACTGCAAGCAGCAAGTCGCAACAATTTGGAATAATATTATGGTGTCCGGTTGTAATAGTGTATAAAAACATATTCCACGTGGAAGTCAAGGCCAGTGATTGAGAAGTGGCCGTCCCGTGAGCGTAAAACCTCAAGGCCAGTCGTGGTGCGTTCTTTCGCGGAATGCGAATAGAAGCAGCGACGTCACACATGTAAACATTAAAAGTGTACGAACCTTCCATCCTGCCGAGCTGTTGCTGTCGCCCTTATCCTTGAAATAGGGCACATTCTGGACCATCCACTCGTAGATCTGCGAGAGGGTGAGTCTCTTGTCCGGCGAGGAGGTGATGGCTTGGGTGATGAGGTCGGCGTAGCTGAGATTGCCCCAGGCGTTCCGTCGGCTGGAGTTCTTCTTGGCGGGCACGACGGCAGGTGTGGGGGCGGCGGGCAAGCCGCACTTGTTGCCCTCCTCGTTCGGCTCGACGTAGTTCTCCGGCCGGGGCAGCGGCCACGTGTTGGAGCGCGCGCGGGTTTGGGGCTCGAAGCCCTCCAGCTCGGCCAGTGGCTCCATGATGTTGAGGTTCATCTTGTAGCAGTCCATCACCCGGGGGCGGTTGCACAACGCACCGGCTATATTTAACTGCGGCGCAATACTCACAGTCCAGTCATCTCCAGCCAGCGTCTGACTCCTGGTGCACACAACACACTAACTAACACCGTGTGATAGACGTCGCTGTTCCATATCCGCTCTTATCTTCTGATAAGTGAAAGACAAACACTCCGCGTTGTGGCGCAGTTATCGCGAGTACGACTCTCAAAGCGCAACTTCTCTCTACTCTCATATACGAACTTTCGCCACGAGGATCGCACGGCGTGTGTATTGCCAGCCTGCAGAATTTCTGGTTGCAGGACATGCCCACTCGGGCATGCGCAATGTCTGGCGCCACGCACGCACACTTGATTGTGTAATTGTAGCACACGCACTGGACGATGCACGTGACATTAGGTATAGACGACAACGGCGAAAAATTGCACATTTTCAATTCAGAGGGATGAACCTAATCATCAACTGAAGCTTTTGCATGAGCCGGCAGGATTAAGCTTTTTGTTGATACGAATCGATCAGCACGTTCTGATAATCTTTCAAAGAAGTGCAATCACGAATCATCACTCTGCAATTACATACACTCTTTTTGGAAAAACGACGAATGACGTCAATAAACAACTGTAATTATTTTGATGTCTCATTAACAAAAAAACACAAAATATTTGGATACAGAGGCTTCAGCTTGACTTGATCAACAAATAACTATCAGAAATTCAAATTATTGGGTAACCCTAATACTACACTGGTTATTAGCAGGGCCGTAACCAGGATTTT